AACTTATATTCAATTCTCTCAATTTGAATCTGATGCCTGCAACAAAAAGGCTGACAGGGGGAACAAAATACTACAAAATCTGAGCAATGTTCAGGTGAACAGGTTAATTGGAAACAGGTGAGTGTCAGGATTGGGTATAAAGAGAGCATCCCTTAAACGTTCAGTCATTTACAAACAAGGATGGGGTGAGTTTCACCAATTTATGAACTACATGAGCAAACAGGTCAACAGTTCAAGAACAAAGTTTCTCAATGTACAATTGCAAGGAGTTCATAATTTATAGTCCATAACATCAACAAAAAAATTCATAGAATCAGGACAAACCTCTGCAGATACAAGGCAAGGCTGAAAATCAACATTGAATGCCTGTGATCTTCGAACCCTCAGGTAGCATTGCATTACACTTCAGAAAACCTCTGTCAATGAACACAGTTTGTCACTACTGTACATCTACAAGTGCAAGTTCAAACTCTACCATACAAAGCCAAACCCAACAACACCAAGAAATGCTGCCGACTTCTCTGAGAATGAGCTCATCAGAGATGGACTGACACAAAGTGGAAAAGTGTCCTGTGGTCTGACAAGTCCATATCTGAAGCGCAAAATATGACAAGGGACCCCGGACTGTTGAAAACCTGAACTTGTATATCAAGTAAGAATGGGAAAGAGTTCCACCTACAAAGCTTCAACTATTAGTGTCCTCAATTCCCAAACGCTTATTGAGTGTTGTTAAAAGAAAAAGTGATATAACATAGCGGTAAACATGACACTGTCCCAGCTTTTTTTTTTTGGAACATTTTGAAGGCATTAAATTAAAAATTAGAGAATATTTGCAAAATAATAAATAAATAAACTAACTAACAAAGTTTATCTGTTTAAATAGCTTGTCTTTGTAGTGTATTCAGTTACATATAGGTTGAAAACTATTTGCAAATCATCATTTTCTGTTTCTATTCATGTCTATTCATACTTTGCACCATGCACTTACTCATCAGGAGCTTGAACACTTTTTAATTGGCAAAAGATGTTCAGTATTTTAGCTAAAGTGAGTTGCTTAAATTAGATGTTATACTATACTCCTATAAATTTATACTACTACTACTAGGGCATGTATTTTTCACTTAACATGTGCTTTTAAACATATTTTTACTCTGAATGCTGTACATGGTGTCTGAAAACTGTCTTTGTTGGGTCCTATTCATGTCAAGCACATGCTGTTCTAGCCTTGTAGATAAACACAAGACTAGATGTATGTAAGTCATACTGTATATGTGATTATTAAATGTAAAATCAAAAGTAAATGTGCTGTTAATTTGTATGTTGTTTAGTTTCCTAAACTAAATTGTTACCAACAGTATAAGTTATAGTACAAAAACATATATTCAGGTTTAGGATTTTTGGAGCTTCTTACACGGCTACAGCTTTCTGATCTGAAGATGATCCACACAACACAAGACTTCCTAAAATTTAACCAATGAAATTATTTCACAGTGCTTCAACACAATCACCTACAGCAGGGGTGCCCAAACATTTTCTCCGAGGGGGCCAAAATGAAAATCTATCCGGGTCTACGGGCCAAATGCAGTTATACATTTAACAGTTATACATGAAATACAAATAATTTTTAAAGTAAAGCCCTTTATTTTTAATGATTAAGCTGTGCAATGGCCCTCTTTTGTTTTAGTCTGTGCACTTGGAGAAAGTCTGCCATATGCTCAAGTAGCAAAGGCTCATGGGACATTTTATGAATTGATAAAATATGAGTTTTTGTGGCCTTATAAAGTGTGAAAATCTACATGTGGGGTTAAATCTAAATATTTCTTGTTGTCGTTTCATGTTTAATGCTAATAAATCAAAGATATGTCAGCATCATGAATGAAAACTACCTTCACTACAGTCCTTTTATATACTGTAGTCATTTGACCAATGGAAATACTGTGTTTCTACATAGGATAACAGGTTACAACCTTGTAACTTTGGCAACTGTTGGTGGGCCAAATCAAATGGCTTGGCGGGCCAAATTTGGCCCGCGGGCCCCACTTTGGGCTCCTCTGACCTACAGCAAGAGTACTTTACGACTACTGTGACATTGTCCCCACCCCCACTGATGCACTCACCAGCAGATGATTAGATCAGTGAAGCTGTGGGATATTAAACTCCACCACTGCCCAAGTATGTTCAGCAGACATGCACTGCTGAATTCAAAAATCAACCAACCAAACTGGTAATGAATGATTGTGATTATGAATATCCTCATTACTAGTCCATGATACAGACACATGTTTAGCTACTGAATCTGTCATCTGTCGTCAATATGGATCCAAATTGAACATTTTCACTACTCTGTGGGATGAGAGCAACCAGAGGTTCTAGTGTATCAGAAGTATTTTACCATCACTTGTTTAGGGTAGAGTCAGTTCTAGTTACTATTTGATGAGACATACATCCTGTCTACTTTTAAAAACAGGCTTAAGACTTTACAATTTAATTATGTTCAAGGTTAAGAGTTGTCCTAGGAAATCTTGAACTAGGTTTTATATTCACCATCTTTTCTTTCTTTGCTGTTTTTACTCCACATGTGCTTGTGTGCAGTCAGACATTACTGTCAATAATTTTGCATTTTTTGTTCTGTTGTTCTTTCCAGTAGAAAGTATGCCTTGATGAGTATTTCTGTGTTGGAAAACTATGTTGGAAGGCTAGTCATCAGGAAAAATTTAACCACACCGAACAAAAGAGATTTATTTATTGATTATCTCATGGTCACATTGTAAGGCACAAATTACTATGTCCACAGCTCAGCCTGGCCTTGCAATAAGGTGTCATATTGCACAATTGTCAGTGAAGGATACCACATTTTGCTGAATTTATAGCTTGGCATGACCTGATCACAAACAAACTTCCAGCTTTTCTTTTTTTAAACACAGACTGAAGATCCTACGTTTGGAGCTGAAACTCATTTTTATATTCCTCAAACCCAGTGCAGTGTTGCAAACAAAAGCACACAATGAACCCAAAGGTTGCAGGTAAAAAAAAAAAAAGATCTAAATGCAGCAAAGTAAAAAAAAAAAGAAAAAAAATCAAGAAAGATAAAAACAGAGGGCAGTGTCTCTGCAGGGAAATACACAACCACACACTTCTGGTGCATTATAAATTATTACATTTGAGACTTTAACTCCTTCAACAAAACACTACAAGTCACGTCTGAGATGCCTTCTTACCAACCTCAGTGTAATTCATAACAGGATGAGGGAGCATTGAGAACTAAAGTTATCTCCACTACTGTTACACCTCTGAGCCACCAACCAAGGTAGCAACAGAGTCTAACTGGTATACAGTGGTTTGCAAAAGTATTCATACCCCTTGAACTTTTCCATATTTTGTCACATTACAACCACAAACATAAATATATTTCACTGGAAT